GAGGGCACCAAGCTGTCCTTGGTGCAAGCTTGCCTTTCCGAGGATCTCGCGCGCTTGGAGGCCTTCAAGAAATGGCTTAAGCAATTACGCGGTCTCTTCCACGACAAGCTCTTGGGTGAGTATCTCTTAACTCCGCAGGAAGCGTTTTCTATATTAGGTGGTCCGGATGTGTGTATGTGCGCTGCCAACATTATCTTAATGCCCTCATGTGTCCTCCAACCCTCCCCCTCAGGCTTTGTCTACAAGCTAGCCGTAGGGGAGCTGTGGATGTTTACATCCACCATGGTCTCTCAGCACCACAAGAAAGATTTCCACTAGGCGCTCAGCAATACCCTCCGCGACAACGACTAGCAGCGGTCCTTCCCCAACATCATGCGACTGTAGCAAGCCATCACCGTCCTTCCCCTCAGCACCGTCAAGTGCGAGGGGAGCTTCTCTAAGCAGAACATGATCAAGACCTGGGTCCGTGGTAGCATATGCGACATCAGCCTTGGCCATCTGATGATGTGCTCTCTTATTGAGTATGAGGTAGACTGGTTCGACGTGGTAGCATGTTTTTGGTGAGAAGATTCGCCGCCCTATCCGCGATGTGCCGAGCTCCGTTCCTTGTGCAATGCAGTTCATGGAGCCAGAAGTGGTTGTGACCTCTTCGGAAGATGTTGCGGAGGCAGGAGTAGAGTGAGTAGAGGTAGGAGTAGTGTAGTTTAGTCTGCACCCGTAGGGCGAGTAAAATTTGTTGCCTGACGTTATTTATTGCTAATTATTGCATTGTGTTGTAGGTTGCTTCTATGTGTTCGATGGAAAGCTCTAGATGTTTTTGCCATGACATTAATGAAAGGCTCCATTGGTAGAGAATCAGGGCATGCATAAAAACACCGTGTTGCAACCAGGGTAGTTTTTTTTTGCGATTTTACCCTGATTTGGACATGGTGTGATAATTTTCATACTAAGAGCGAAGGTAAACTTGCTCCTGTACCCTGATTACTAAGGGTCCCCCTAAACCAATATATGGCCCTGCCTCTGTCGCTGTATCGCCCCACAAGAGTCGCATACTAGCAACAAACATCGCTACCCAAGCCCCCCTCACAAATATCCGCCCTGTTTGTCTTGTGCTTGTACGAAATTCTCATTTGCCCGTAGTGAGGGCATGCAAAATACTTGTGCGATTGAATCCCCGACACCCTCAAATCTTTCGCAGCTCGGTCAAGCTTCGTCTGTAGTAGAACAGAGACTGGCATGTATTATGATACCTTAAGTTCCATCAAAGGAATTCGAAGCAAACCAGTTCAAATTGATGATTTTTCGGGAAATCAGCCCCTCAGAGTGGTTTGCAATGATGATGGGGATTCTGGTTGAATGCGATTTAATGCTTCAAAAAATAGTTGCATACACCAAGTATCCGATTAAGTCGACGATTTTCTTTTGGGCGGCAACGATTGTTTTATCTGCGTGGCGACTCTAACGCTATATATTTGCTTGTTTGAGAAGCCCACGTTCGACAAAAATCGCACTCCATGCGGCATTACAAACCTGAATCAAACTTGGGGTGACTGTAACAAAAAAACGAACGCTAATATGTGCTATTTAATCGAATACTCGGGTGTATAGGATTTTGGGCATCCTAATGGATCAAAGAAAGCCCCCTAAACGCCCGCGTCATGTTCAGGGTTGGTGCTCTAAGTGCACGGTGTTTTTATTTTGGGTTCTTTAAAGAGAGACAGAAATATGGATTATTTCTAAAAATGTGTATTGTTAAAGTAAAGCTGCTCGTAATGAAGCAGTGGCAACGACGAACTGCTAAACGCTCTTCGTCGAGTATATACAGTAAGACGTATTGGAGGCCATGTGACCTCCACCCACATCTTCATTTCGAGTTTTCAAAAGGGTTTACTCCCCACTTACCCATCCTTAGGCACTAAAGATTCTCATTGTATGCACGTGTTAACCTCGAATTTTGTAATTGCCCGTTTGAAATGAAACCCGTTGCCGTTGTTACAACGAAGGCAAGCTTTCTCAATAATGCCCATGTTTCTCGTCAAGTCCAACTTGACATGGACCCTCGAGTAGATATAGGAAGGGCAAACGAGCGGGCATTAGAAAACGCCGTTTCAGGGCGGCGGGCACTCGGCAGCTTAAGTGCCCTTGCGACAAATTCAAATTCGTGGGGAAGGGTGTGTGTATACACTCACTAGTCAACGCGCCTCGTTTCGAGCAAGCACGTTAATGTAGTGTGTCTACCTTGCTTGAGTGTGGTTCAATAAGACTTCAGATGGTTGGACACGTAATGGGAAAAGTGATGACAGACTGGTGGTCCTGGAAAGCACGCCTTGATTAGGCTGCGCTAGATGGGGAGAATTGTGGACCAATCAGAGGACCATTTTTGTTTTTGCGTGAGTAGTTAAATGTGTTGGAAATCTGACTATTCCGCTTAGCGGAAGCGTTGAACTAGGAAATGGTTGATTGACCAAAGGAAATATAAGGCATTTGTATAGGTACTCCCTAGGCTCCTCTAACAACCCCTCAAATGCTTGACCCCCACACCCATAATGCCAAAAACAATCATGGAGTGGCAATAATGGAATCATCCAATAATGCTACACCCAATGATGCTTGGACCAATAATTCTTAGACTTGGCCCTTCGTACCCCAAAGTAGCATTCTCACTTGGGAAATAACATCCACCATCACTACACCTTATAACATTACATAATATATAACCATGAGTTTGTATTTCCAACACCCCCTCTTGATGGTGCATGTATTGTTGTAGCCAATACCAATGTGTAACCCAGCTGAGCTGGATTGTTTGAAATTCTCTGCAGGACGCGAACACACCCCGTTAAGGGATTGGTTTTGTAACACGATCCCCTCCCGTTGCATGTTAAAAAAAGCACATTCAAGTCATGTTGTGTATCGCGTCGTTTCTTTCCAGTTCTACAGAGCTCGTGTTTTTTGAGTGATCATAGTGCTCATGTTTTACCAACTCCTTGTTATTTCTTTTCCTTTGGCATGCATAATGAAGGGCGGATCTCGCACAATTTTTGTATCCTTGGTATCTATTTCGGTCGTCGCCTTTGAATTTCGTCACGTGATTGAAGCGTCCAAATGTTTTCGCTAGGCAGCTCGTTAAGGGTTCATATGCTTTCTTGCCATTTTGGTTGGGCTCGGCGCATTATGGACATGCACTCTCTTGGCGCTTTTATAGTATTAGAAGTTGTGTTGCTTATTCAATCACAAAACCCCCCCTAGCTCTCACAGAGCTCGAAACTTGGCCAGATCCTTGGCCATTTCGAGTAGGGAAAGTTGGCATGCAAAACCGCGCATTTGATCTCCCTCCTTTTTGTAGGGGCATTAAAAAACTTATGATCCATGCATTAAATATGGTGTATCGTATAAAAGCATTATGCAGTAAACTTATGGTTTATGCAACAATATATTTTTCTTTAAACATGAACGATGTTTGTCCCTTTCGTCCTTATAAAAGACAAACATTTCACGATCTTTTGCGTGAGCTTTAACACAGGCACTCATCGCAACCATCCACAGTAGTATGCACACGAGGTTCAACATTAACATGCCATGCAATGCAACATACACAAGACAACATGCACGACGACTTGCATGGTAAGAAGACAACGTGCATTGGTACTTGTTCACTTCAACATAATGTTATTGTAGACGAGATAAGAAGCACCAACGTTGCCCGCTGTTTATTGCAGATGAATAGGGCTGAGCAACGGGCAATACTGAATTTTCTCATTATCCACAAGACACTGCACAATAACTCGCACATGACAATAACACGCACAACAGCTTGCACAAGACAATAACACACACAACTACTAGCACACTTGTACAAGTAAATAATTCAAGGTCAAATGAGACACCAATGTCGCCCACAGATCTTCAGATCATCATCCACAGTAGCATGCACAATAACTTAAACCGGACATGAACATGCACAACGCAACGGCTTGCACAAGAAAACAACCTGTACTTGTACTTGTTTATCTATACATGATGCAATTTTGGGTGAAATAAGACGCATCAATGTTGTCCACTGTTCATTGTCGATGAATATGGCGGAGTAGTGGACAACACTGTCATTTCTTACTAAAATCCAGAATAGCATGCACAAGAACTTACACAGGACAATAACAGGCACCTTGGCTTGCACAAGAGGACTAACACGACAACTTATTTCACACTTGTACGGAATCGAATTGTGGGTAAAATAAGAAATGCCAATGTTGCCTACTATTCATCGACGATGAATACGGAGGAACAGTGGACAACACAGACATTTCTTACCATCATCCACAATAATATGCACAAGACGATAACATATACATAAACTTTACAATAACAGTTGCACAGTAGATGATACGATGAGCTATGACGCAGGTGTATATGAGCATAAGACATACATTGGGAACAGTACATGAATGCATCCATGCATTGTAGTTGAGAATGTCGTGAACGGTTTGATTGCAAATGCTTCTCCAAACCGTCAAGCAATCTCAGACATTATTATGCATATAGCATATACGCGCCACACCAATGCATGTCCGACTTTACAACTCACAATGTACAGACAACGATACAAAAATAAGAGTAGAAATACAATATGCTAGACAAGAAAGTGGCACGAAGGTACATGCAATAAACAATGCATCCATAAGTTTACAATCCACACCATTAGCAACAACTCTAACATACGCATGCAAACACATGCAAGAAGCAACAGAACAAATAGAACGTACACACGCAAACACATAGCGCAATAAGCAATTTCAAGAAAAGGTGAAAGGAAGTACGGAGGCCACACATCCCGGGTGTACATTGTACACGCATCCATAGCTTACAAAAGGACTTTTAACAGAGCATACTAGAAGCTCAGATATGCTCAAACCCCCCCTCCCCCGTCCCCACTCCCCCATCACCTATCCCTCCCTCCCCCCTTCCCCCGTCCCCCCCTCCTCCCCTTCCCTCCCTCCTCCCTTCCCCCCTCTCACCCTACCCTACCCCCCTACTCCCTCCCTCCCTCTCCCCCGTGCCCCTTCCTCCCTCCTCCCTCCCAATCTTCCTCCCTCCCTCCCTCCCTCCCTCCCTCCCTCCCCCCCACCCCACCCCCCCGCCTTCCCCCTCCCCCTCCCCCCCCCCCCTCCCTTCCGCCCCCCACACCTCCCCCCCTCCCCCCTCCCTCCCCCCCTCTCCCCCCCTCCTTCCCTACCCCCCTCCCTACCTCCCTCCTTCCCTCCGTCCATCCCTCCCTCCCTCCCTCCCTCCATCCCTCCCTCCCTCCCTCCCTACCTTCCTTCCTTCCTCCCTCCCTTCCTCCCTCCCTCCCTCCCTCCCTCCCTCCCTATCTCCCCCCCTCCCTCCTTCCCTCCAGACCCTACCTCCCTCCTCCCCCTCCTGCCTCTCATCCCCCCCCCACCCCCCCCTCCCCCTCTCTTCCCCATTCCCCCCCATCCCCCCCTGTCCCTCCCTGTTCCCCCCATGTTCCATTCCTAAACGTGTCAATGAACAGATGGAGTCAAAATCGTTTATATAGACCTGCATGAAATGATGATGGAAAAACGCAATGATAAAAATGTTGAAATCTTGATCATGGATGCAGCAGAATTGACAAGGAGGGCGAAGAGCTGTAGAATGACAAGACAAGAGAGACTGAGAGGGGAAGAGAGGTCGATGCAATAAAAAAACGGAAAGAGTGCTTCAGAGAGTACACTCTTCAAGGGGGGTTGTGAGAAGGACAGATAGATATGGATTGCGAGACATATGTAACAGTGAAAGAATGCTAAATAACGTAGGGGACAGACGGCAAATGTAAGCAAGTGACATGTGAGTGCTCACTCACCTTCAGTAACAGTTATGCCTTTCATTCTCCCTCCCATCTCTTCCTCTTCTCGATGCCCATCACAACAACAACTATCTCACCAAGAGCCAAACATCCGGCTCTAGCATGCACGATAGCATCAGCATGCCAAAGAAGGCAAACAAGTGACGGAAGAGGCAAGTACACAGGCATGTCACTCATCATTCATAGGGCCCGTACCCATCCTTGTGCATGGCCATCGCAACAGCAAATAGATAGCACAGCGCCATGCACACCACGGCGCAGCATCGGCCCGTGTCAGCCACACAAGTAGGGAGAGAGAGAAGATCAGAAACTATCAGAGCGAGCAGACAAAAGCATTCCGCTGCTTCCATTCCGATCCGTGCTTGCAGCTGCGGTGAAATCATTTTGCAGTCCGTGGAATGGCTGCAGCAGTTGGCGGAATGCGTCAGCAACTGCTAGAACAATAGCTGGCGATGTTGGCTTTTGCTGGCAGAATCGGCTGCTGCTGGTGGATCTACGTTGCCACAGTATTGCAGGGCTGCCGGTTCTACGTTCCAGCGACTTGTGCCACCATTTCAGCCATACCAATCCTTCGTTCCAGAGGTCCTCCTGCTGCTGCGACTGCCACGACTCTTGGCGGCGGCGTCGTACCAAGTTTTGTAGGTTCTGCCTTTCCCCTCGCATCTCCTTGCTTGACTGCATCTGCTGCTTGCTCATGGTTGAGCTCCCGAGTGACATGAGCACTTGAGCAGCCACCATGCTGCACCATGCAAGGCCACACACTCACTCACCAGTCTGCGCATCTTGCTGCTGCCAGTTTGCACTGCTTCAACCGGCCTAATAGTGCTGCCCAGAGTGGTTGATTTCAGCTGCGAGCCTTCATCTGCTCGTCGCAAGCACCAGCTCGCACCCTTGACCTTCCATTTCCTCCCTAACCAAGGCTCCCATTCTCCCCTTGAACTGCTTCTTATTGGAATACAAGATACCATTGTGCTCTGCTTCTCTTTTTGCCATATCCCTTCCGTCGTTATCCAATCCTGTTTGATGATGGCGCCACTGTCTCTGCTGGACCTGCATTGCCACTGCTGGACCTGCATTGCCACTACCTTCAGACGCTGCTGTTCTGCATTGCCGTACCACCACGGCTACCTGGTCCCCTCATTTCCGCTCATCATTCCTTCTGCCCTATCTCCCCCTCGTTTGTGCAGGGCTGGCTGATTCACAACGAATGCACAAAGGAATGGGGCAGAAAACATTTCGAGGGAATCGAGATCATTTCTTCTCCCATTTCCTTGCGTTTTCCCTCTCCTGCTGGATGTGGCTATTCAACAGCCATGTCTTCTGCAGCTGCCACTGGACATGCTACGACCATGACAATAAAGTGCACGGGTTAACCATTCTCATTTTTCTGCTCCCCCTATTTTCTTGCTGTTCGTTGATGCCCCATGCCTCCTTGGAGTCCCTTGCTGCCCCCTGGCTCCCCTCAGGCTCAGCAGTAAGTGATGAGGGGCATGGCAAGGGGCATCATTCCCAGTTGCAGCAATCGTCTTATCATCGGGTACATTCCCAACTCCTTGGTGATGCCCACTGTTTCTGTTCCTTTCCACGTGATGCACCCAAGGCATCGCCATGTATGTGTCATGCCATCACTCGTAGTTGCGCCTGTGCTTGTAGCTTCATTGTTCAAAGCGCCGCCTTCACCCATAGCTGCTCATTCGCTCGAAGTTGCACCCTTGTTCAAATCTGCGCCTTTGCTCGTAGCCCCATGGCTCGTAGCCGCACCATCGCTCGTAGCCGCGCCATCGCAGCCGTGCCATCGCCTGGAGCTGTGTCACTCGCTCCAAGCCACGCCAATCGCTCGTAGCCGCGCCACAACCTGGAACTGCATTGTCTGTAGCGTGCGCATCCATTGCTCGTGGCGTGCTCATCCATTGATCTCAGGGTGCGCCTCCATTGAGCGTAGCATGCGCATCCATCCAATGGTGTATTCACATTTGCATTGGTGCTCTCACATGGGTGCCATCAAGTGGGTGCCATCAAGTGAGTGCCACCAAGTGGGTGCCATCAAAATCACATGGTGCCATCACAATCACGTAGGTGCAATCGCAATCACATGGTGCTCGCACACTCACATGGTGATCGCACAGTCACATGGTGCTCGCACACTCACATGATGCTCGCACACTCACATGCTACTTGCACACTCACATGGTGCTCCCACATTCACATTGGTGCTATAACATTCCCACGAGTGCTGCCACGTTATGCCATTATAATATTCGAAGAGTCCCACCATATCAGCCTCACCCTTGCTGCAGGCTGATCATCCCAACATAAGTGCTCACATAATCCTGGCAGCTACACACACAAAACACACTTTGCTGCAGCAGCTTATTCACCTGTCCATTTTTTCATTTTCCCTTTTCATTTTCCAAACTGGCTATGAGCCACATACGCACAATCTACTGCACCCACACACTCAAACTTGCTGCAGCCACGCGCTCACACTTGGTGCAACCATACACAGTGCCACACACATTTCTTTGCACACAGCTGCACATCTACACGCGCTGCTGCAGTTCCACACATGTTGCGGCAGTTCCACACGCGCTGCTATTGTATTTCCATAAATGCCATCATAGCTCTTTGCATTTGCCGTTGCACACATATCAGCCATTGCCACTGCATCACATGATATTCACGCTTGTAGTCTAAAATCCACATTCATGCTCGATGTCCTCCTTATCCCTTCTAATATGGTGCACGCAGATGGAGAAGCGAACCACATGGCCAAATTCCCACATGGCCACGTGGCCGTTTCCTTTGCCACCAATAGTACGGGTTGCCATGCTCCGTCCTCCAAACACCGCAGCAAGGACGGGCTACTAGAGGCCAACAGAAAGATGTGGTTGTGGAAATGTTGTGTTAACTGCAAACGGGCATGGCCCTCTCCAAAAGCTTAGATACCATGTTGGAAATCAGACTATGCCGCGTAGCGGAAGCGTTGAACCAGGAAATGGTTGATTGATTAAAGGAAATACAAGGCAATTGTATTGGTACTCTCTAGGCTCCTCGAAAAGCCCCTCAAGCTCCTCAAAGAGAAGCATAATGCACTCAGGAAATGCTTGACCCCACACCCATAATGCCAAAACCAATAACGGAGCGGCAAAAATGGAGTCATCCAATAATGCTAGTCCTAATGATGCTTGGACCAATAATTCTTTAGACTTTGTCCTTTGTACCCCAAACTAGCATTCTCACTTGGTGAACAACACCCACATCACTACACCTTATAATATCACATACGGTATACACCAGGATAAACGAATAAAATGTTTACATGCGCTTAATAAAAGTACCATAAGGAAATACTTGAAGGCACCAAATTGTAGCTCGTTTAATTGCAGTTGGAATGGGCCAAACTCATATGGGGGTCGTGTTGATAAATTTTGTGGAATCGGCTTGAGAATGCCCCCCCCCCCCCCCCCTCTCCCTCTCTCTACCCCCCTTCCCTCTCCCCACCTCCTCCTCCTCTCCCCACCCCCCACCCCACGACCCTTTGGCATTAGGGTACCATGAATGGGCGCCCTAAAAATTATACAGGGTGTTTTAAATGGCGACCCTTTTCAGACAGGATTAGGGCACAACACTTCTGGGGGAAATTCAGGCATGGGCCGAAGAGATGCTTCGTGGTTGGAGAAGCTCTTCTGATGTTATCCTAGATAGAATACGGCTGGTTCAAGGCTGGTGTGCAGACAATAAACTGATTTCTCAGTGTTCAAGTAAGATCTGCAAATTGTGTTTACATGGTGAAGAATACAAAGTATGGAAAATTAGGAAATGACCTTCATAGTCATTTTTGAAACTAGAAGCCATAATGCTTTATCTTGCTAACTTAGGCCCTAATAAGATAATTGATTCAAATTCTGGTGGTCCTTGGGGGTTCAAAATTAGCAAGCATATTGTGCATCGTAATGTTTGAACTTTATGATTGCACCAAGCCCCAAAATCGTTTTGGCTCTTTGGTTAGGTGCTAGCATTGACTTAACGAAGAGGCCGACTTGGGTCATGGTGCAAGAAACCAATTCGAGGATCACTAGCATTTTTCCGAGATGGGCTACTCTTGTTTGAGCTTGCGTTTGGGTTCTTTGAGCTGAACTAACGCGGTTTTTGGGTTAATAGAAGTCGACTATTGGTTACCCGCAGGCGGGGTGCAAGCGAACAGATGTACAGCCAAACTTGCAGCACGCTCTTACTAAAAAAAAAAAAAAAAAAAAATCATGAACAATCAACTCTAATTCAATTAACTGGTTTGTGAAACTGTACTTCTACAACATCACTGTCTAAAATAGCACAAAGGGGGGCTTCGAGTGAGCCCCTCTTGAACAGGGGCACTTAAAAAAAAAAAAAAAAAAAAAAAAAAAAGTGCCCCCCCCCCCACCTTTTCCCCTGCCAAGCGCGCCCCTCATTTCCAGTCTCCGCCCCTCCCCTTCTGTCCTTCATTATTGGCGGTGGTATTGCTTGCTCAATTTCTAGGCGCCCTGATTGGTTTATCCATTTTCTACGAAAATGGGCTCGTCGCGTATAGTGTTTCGACGTTCGCTCATTGGCAAAGTACGCTCGCCAGCTCCACCCACTACTCAACGCCCCTGCTCATTGACTGGCCCCACTTTTCTCCTGTGCAAGATTATTAATCTTGCACGTTTTGGGCCACCGGCGTTAAAGGAAGCAACCTGACGGTATGGTCGACGTGGAATAAATGTCACTTCATTATAAAAGCACGCGCCATTTTGCACCATTTCGTTCTCACACCTTTACTTCTCGGCTCGCTATTGCAACTTCTGTTTTCGTCGACACCCAAAACAATGTCACGAGTTTTCTTTCTCAGTGTGAAATTTGCTGAAATGCTTTTAGAGTGAACCTTCACTAAACAATGTAAAAAATTGTTTGCTCTTTTGTTTTCTTCCCAAACTAGGAAAAGGGTACCACTCCAGGGCCTATCTTTGCTTGCTTTTTCACCCTATGATTTTCACAAGTGACCCTTGGGCTAACTTTGATTCTCACAGTGCCTTGGAGCTGTAATGTAACTATGAATTTTCCGATTTTTTTTTTTTTTTTTTTTGGGTGAATTTCTCTGATTTACTGTGATTCCTTCAGTGAGCTTCTTTTCTAACCACTAGACTAGATGCATACAACTAGCAAAAGAAGCAGTCACTATCATTAGAATAGCACTGCTTTCACTCAACCTCCACCACACCACAACAACATCATCCTCAAAGCTCTCTAAAGAAGAGGGACTCTCAGCATCACCTGAATCATCTGCACTCTTAGCAGGGATATGGGGGACCTCGTACACAACAGACTTGGCTTGCTTCCACGCCTTATGTTTCCTCCGAATGTCCACAACTTGAGATCGTCGGGGTAATCGATGTCATAGTCGAGCATGTTGATGATCATGAGATTGCCCAGCCTTTCGTCACACAAGTTGGTGTGCAGCCAAGACTCGATGACATTGTCTGCTGAAACCCCTCTTACACTTGATAGTGCTCAATGGCAGCACTTCCATGCCTGCCCCAACCTCATGAGGTTCGGGTAGCTCTAGGGTCAGTCTATGGTATTGAGCATGGCGGCTAGCTCCTGGTTGAAGTCGTCATCCGCAGGGTGGTTCTTCATGAGGTCCAGCTCCGCCGCACGCCTGCAATGATTGGGGGGGCGGGGGGGTGGCTTTGGGGGAAAGCTTAGTATACAACTTACCAAGCACGATGGAAAATTGGATATGGGACCTGTTAGCAGGATGGTGAATGCAGCCATACATGGAAGCTTGTTGTCGAAAAGGACCACGTTCGATCCCAGCCACGCTAGATGTCGCCGCTCACGCGCTTCTGCCTTCTTCAGCCAGCACTCCACACAGAAGAGTCCCACGCCGCCAAGGCGCTTCACGTCCCGCAGGCGCTGCTCCACGTTGGCGACCAAGTCCTTGGCCATCGCGGTGCACAACTCCTCGCAGTTCGCCATGCTTCCCTCGAACTTGTGGCCAGGGAGACACTCTTCGCTGAGTTTGAATGAGTGACTGCACGGCCGGCCATCGCTGTCCACACCGGCGACGACGATGCTCCATACTTCTTTGCCAAGGCTTCGGGGATCCTAAACCCTAAACCCTAAACCTTAAACCCTAAACCCTTGCTCAAGACATTCGCTCTGGGATGCTCCGATCGCTCAAGACTTTCTGTCAAATCATGATTAAACCCTAAACCCCTAAACCCTACCCGAAACCCTAAAGCCCCTATACCCTAAACCCTAATCCCTGAGCTCAAGGAACTTCGACAGCTTCTTGCTCATGCCAGCGCCAAAGGTTGTGCCATACTCGATGTAGCGGTGCCTGATGTACTGTATGTGAGGGTGCAGTCCACCTTATAAGACATGGAGAGTGATGTCCACATATAGGATGATGAGCATAAAGAGCAGAGAAGTACATTTGTGGCACAATAGTAGCAGCATGTGAGAGTACGATACCGTTACACTAATTTCCCTTTTCCATATTTCATTTCTATTTCATTCCTCTTTCACTCCTGATTCATTTGGTCTTCATCTCATCTCATTTGGTTTCCTATTCCTCCTTTCCCATTATCCTTTGGTTTATCCTGTTATTATAATT